TTATTTAGAACTACTCTATTTAGAGTTTAGTTTTCTTAGTTGCCTAATAATTTATAATAATATATAAGATAACCACTCTTTCAACAAATGCGACATTTTCTATCGCACTCCTTCAACAGATGCAACACTTTCTATGGCACTCCAACAGATGCAACACTTTCCATCTATCTTTTAAACGCACAGTTCAACACAGAGGGCAACCGCGAGGCGAAGTATCAACGTAGTGGAGTGACAAAACTCAGAATTGAGTGCCACACTCGCCACAGCACTTGGCACGGCTCTCCGTGGCACTGTGACTGTTGAGTGCCGTACACCTGTGACGCTGCCACAATGTGTAAAAAAAACGCTCGGGGACGAGCAACCGAAAAAATACTTATCGCAAAAAATAGTCTGGTCAACGACGAAAACAACTCGTTAGAAAAAGGGAAGAGGGCTTATAAATGAAAAAAAAACTCAAATGCGACGTGAGCGCGAAATACGGGCCAAAAGATAGTTGACTAACAACTTTGATATCACGAATTTTTGTACAACATTCTACTCGAGCTAATTTCCTGAGTGAATGCAGCGCTTGTGCAGAGCCTATGTACACGAACGCAGAGCTAGTGCGTGCAGAGAATACTGTTTAGAAAAAGTCTAGAAATATACATGAGTACAGAGTTAGTGTTAGTAGAGTGTGTGCAGAGTTTGTGTGAACAGAGCGTGTGCAGAGTTGGTGTTTTCAGAGTTAGTGAGTGCAGAGTTGGATGTGCAGAGTTGGTGTGTGCAGAGCGTGTGCAGAGTTAGAGTGTGCAGCAAAGTTGGCTGTCAAGCCGCGGTTTGGATCGCGTCCAAGTGTGTGCCTAAGATGCCTGATGTCTCACCACGTGACACACCGACACATGCTTCGTGACACACCGACACATGCTTCGTGACACACCGACACATGCTTCGTGACACATAACTCATACAACATGGCGCGTGAAACATAACAGACGATTGCAACAAGTTTTAATTCCTAGAAAATTCAGACAAATGCCACCAAGTTCTTTCATAACTTCAAGCGTAAAAGACTAATTGGGGATTGAACAGGCATCGAAAAAACATGGAAAGTTTAACATTCGTTCTTGAGACTCAATGATTCATGCATCTTAAATTTCTCAGCATTAATCAGGTTCAGAACAAAACCGGCCAGTCACAGACACAAGAAGACTTGAGATCCTTTGCAAATCTTTTCGTTATCTAGAAAATTCCCTAGAATGCATTTCCTGCGTGCGAACATTTTTAGGAGATAGAGTTCACATTAGTATAACGATCAGAAAATATTTGGAGATCTGCAGCTAATGCCGTCCATTTGAAATACATTTAAGAACGTTATTATTTGTTTGATTTTTATTTTTATTGCAATAGTTTCAATTAGTTATTTTTGCAATAGTTATTGCAAAAAAATAGTTTGCAATAGTTATTTTTACATAAATGCAATAGTTTCAATCTACGGGGTTTGTAGCTTGTATAAATATCTCGAATTTCTTCGTGAAAATATTCTCAGCTGCGTTTTACGTAAATACTTTTGCATCGCGTAATACCAAATACAAATCAATATTAAAAAAATTATTGTAACATGAAATTCGTTGTATCAAGGCTTTAGATTCGTAAGTCAAGCTATTTTGAGTATCAAAGAGAATCGCTCGAAATTTGTTATTTCTTACAGAATCGACCGAGACGTAAATATTGCTAATCTAGCATTTATCTAGTCAACTCTTTTGCAACAGATTTTCATTTATCAACACAGGTGATTGGGGGCAAATATCCAACTCCCAAGACTAAGCCAAGTTGGCTGGTCTAGGCCCAGAGACGACCGTAAGGCACCGATAAGCTGTTCAGTAAATCCCTCTTACGCCGTAAACCTAAGCAAACAGAATGCGAGTGCAGTGAAAGCAGCCGAGATCGTTTGTAAGTCGCGGTCAGTAACGAACGAGCAACAGTCATCTGTCACAACTCGTTACTAGAAGGTATAATTAACATAGCTAATTCAAGCGAATAATTTTTTAAAAACAATGAAGAAACTTTTACCCTTGAAGCATTTTAGTTTAAACCAATGACAGTAATTTAGAAATTAGTATAAACCTATTTATCTAAATGTTCAAGTTACCAAGTAAATGAATATTTAATTGTTTTAGAATGCGTTAAATTTCAATAATCAATCGAAACAGTTCATTTGCGTATTAGTTAGTAATATTAGTGAGTATTTCGTAATTTAGTTTTTAACTTACGAAAATTTTACATTATAAATCTTTCGTGCTGTAACAGTTTATGAATCATATGCTAATTAATTAAAAAACATTTAAAGCAGAATCATATTTTCAGTTACCAATATCCTAATGAAGCCATAACAGTTATCAGTTTTTTATAAGCGAGTGAGTAAGTAGTAATTCGTTTTCATATTAACTTGAACTAATTTAATCTTATTCATTAAATCTTACTACAAAATAGCATACAATAAATACGAGAACGATAAATACGTTTTTATGATTTTAATATATAGCAACTTCGCTTATACTTTATTTGCTTGAGGGGAAGTTATGCCAGTGCTAAAATTCCCACAACAGATGCTTCAGATTGCGTATTGAGCTTGTAGAAGCGAGGCACTTATCCACAGCGTAAAAAATATATAATAAAATTAATAAACTATATAATAATAATAAAATATATTATTAAAAATAAAAATATATAGTAATAATAACAGACGGTAACATCGATCGCGCGGCGACAGAGACCCACGAATTCCCTTCATTTCTCGGCCCAAAGCTTTTACCCGCACTAGCGGGACACTAAATTCGATCAAAGAAACCTTCCATTGCCGACTGAGCAGCTCAGAGATACTCGCACGCTCGGCAGGGGAAATTTGCTTTACCTTAACCTTACTTTAGCTATACTTTAGTGCTAACAATGTTGGATTCGTGACATAACTTATGCGCGTATTCAACCTATTACCTATTACGAGAATAATCGTAATAATTAACCTATTAGTACATATTACGAGAATCAACGGAGAGAAAAGGGTGCACGCGAAGTCACACTTATGCAAAAGTATTAATGGTTGTCAAAAAATATTTATTAAATTAATAAAACTTTTATTCCTGCCTCCTTCAGTATCCTTTGCTGTAACCGACGTTGCACTGTACATGGAAGGCAACTATCGTTCTATTTTAATTAACCTTAACCTTACCTTAATTATTACCTAAACCTTTTACTTAAAGGTTAAAGTTTCCTACTTAACCTTAATTACCTTAACCTTTTAATTAACCTTAACCTCGCCACACTTTAATTCAGCAGAACAAAGAAGTAATCTTACTGATACTAATTATCATCCGAACTAATTGAAACATGAGACATGCGTCTGCACCGCCGCTCATAATTACGATACAAGGCATTTTAATCTGCATATAAAACTACAGGCGGTTTTAAGGTGGCCAACGAAGTACCGTCCATCGGTGAGCGCAGAATGGCTCTAATTTTAACAGACGCCATAAAATATAAGGAGCTCAACCAATCAGCTTACGAAGACGAAATATTTCTCTACGTGCTCAGTATTTTACAGTAAATTTTCCGCTGCACCAATTAATTCATTATGGTGTGAATTTTAGAGAGATGGGCTTGATTTACGTCTGGCGCGAGCTTGCACTCCGGTCTCGCGGGGAAATGTTATGGGTTCTTTGGTATGGGGAGTCAACCCAAAGGGAAACTTCTCCCAAAGGGGGATTCATCCCAAAGTAAGACTCATCCCAAAGGGAGATTCATTCCAAAGGAAGACTCATCCCAAAGGTAGATTGATCTAAAAGGAAGACGCATTCCAAATTAAGGAAGACTCATCCCATAATTAGACTTAGCCCATAGATAGACTCATCCCAAAGGGAGGCTCATCCCAAACGAAAACTCATTTCAAAGGAAGACTCATCCCAAAGATATACTCATCCCAAGGATACATCTCAAAGGGAGACTCATCCCATAGGGAGACTTAGCCCATAGGTAGACTCATCCCAAAGGAAGACTCATCCCATAGGGAGACTCATCCCACAGGGAGACTTAGCCCATAGGTAGACTCATCCCAAAGGGAGACTCATCCCATAGGGAGACTCATCCCACAGGGAGACTTAGCCCATAGGTAGACTCATCCCAAAGATACACTCATCCCACTTGCCTCAAGCCAATTTCAGACCAGAATTACCACCAATGAAATAACTGATTATGTACAAGAGTAATTATTGAGCAGCAGATGACTAACGCGGATGACTATTGTACGAATTTTCTTGTGGTCTTTTCACGTCTTAATCATTGTATTTCAAGGTAATCGCGAAAACAAACCTTGAGACCAGTCTATACCAAAATATCTATAACCAGCAATTTTTCCATTCCATTGTTATTGAAAAAAATTATACAAGTCCAAGTTTGGGCGCAACAAATGACCGATTATTTAGCCACGTAAGACCTACACAATATTTTATATACAAAACTTGAAAAATCCGTATGCTATAGTCCGTATCGCTTAATTTCTGAGGAAATGCACAGATTATCTTTTTTCATCCATTAACTTATTTATCGATGAAAATTCGGTTAATATCAAGAATATGGCAAAAAGCACTCAAATAAAAAAAAATAGATTTTTGTACTTACTCCTAAAAGCTACAATAGCACAGATCACTGGAATATTACTCACCACTTGACATAAACTGCACATAGCACTGGAATTTCCATCGCTCATTATAATCATACTTCAATGTCACACTGTATTTTTTAAATGTACACCTATATACACTCACCCTCCTCCCCCCTGACACAACCTAAGTAGAATTATTCCGATACCTATGAAGCGTTCGAGCTGTGATACTTATGAAGTGTCGTCTATGTTTGAGGCATATTCATATGTATCTGAAAACATGAAATCGCTTTATTTATTACATTTAGGAACGCGAGGTCTGATGTGTCGGAAATTTTTCCGTTATGTTATTAAGGCATGTACTCACGCAGGCTTGGGGTCTCGTACTCGATGTCGATGTCGACGTTGTTGCCGGAGTTTTTGAGGAGCGCCACGATTTGTTGGTGCGTGAGGCCCTCGGTGGCACAACCGTTGACGGCGACGATGTAGTCACCGACAGCAAGTCTGTCGCAGCGGTGGGCCGCTGATCCTGTCCGCAGGCGAGCTATGCGTGGGCGATAGCCTTTGTCTATGCCGCCTGCACCAAGAAAATTTATATTACAGAAGTAGCTTATGACAATGAAATATTTACTAACCGCCGCCATCAAATAATATTTAAACTTATTTTACAATTACCAACCGCCGCCATCAAATAATTTTTAAACTTATTTTACAAAAGCAGCCTTTGACAATCAAATAGTTATCAGGTGTTAGTAGTGGTACGTATGTTAAAAGGAGCTACATTTAAATAATTATGAAATTTTGTAACTCATGTAAGTTGAAGTAACTCATGTAAGTTGAAAATTCTATTGATTTGTATTAATCACGTCATGACTTTGTCGCTGCTGTTCAAGAACTGTGATTTTTAATTGCATTTTGCAACTAGAACACGTACGTCGTACAAGGGCTACAACCTTGCTATACAAACTAACACAGCTTACGATATTAGGTACCATTTTCTTTCTCTATTAGAAAACGAACGTTCTCAATTTGAGGGAGTCCTTAAACATTTTCTTCACTTACGTGTGTTTCCAACATTATATTTATACGTGAAGATGTGCTACGGAGCTAGTTGCATAACATAGATTTTCGCTCATGAAGCTGTATTTCGAGTTTAAATATATATAAATAATCCAATATTGTCATATCATTGAATGATTAAAGCTTAAATCATCAAATAGCAGGTGAAAAACCTGCAGTCCCAACTCCTAAGCTACTTCGCAATCTATATTTGTTGGGAATAATGAACGAATGTTCCTATAATTCCCCACCTATATATCTTGCTGCAAGCTCTCAGTTCTCGGTTACATGTATCTGAAACGAGTATGTGACATTTATTCTTGTTTGACGCCACCAACATGTGAAACAGACTCAGTGTTGACTGAAGTCGCCTGGGATTCGTCGCATGAGGCCTCGAACATGAACGCCTTCAATATTAAACTATAGATGCTAGATTGCTCGTGCAGCGGTATATGTACGGAGTAGATGCCCCTCCAAGGTGAGAGGGGTTTTATAGCATCAAGCTCAATTCTGATAGATCTTGTCAAAGGATGTGACGAATTGGCCGGCGCCGGACTTGGCATAGTCTTCAACTCCGAAGCCAAGATGCTACGATACAATACAATACAGAACTATACATCACTATAATGCAACTATACTATACTATACTATACTATACTATACTATACTATACTATACTACACTACACTGCACTATACTTATTATACTATATTATACACAATCTTCGTACAACACAGAATCCTATGTGGCCGCTGCGGGTTCCCGTAAAAACAAATGAAATATTTATTATATATTTACTATATTTATTACTATACTATATTTATTTATCTAAAAGGCTGCTCGGTTCGATAATGGTTATCAGTCCTATAAATTGTGATGAAATCTGATTATAAGTTATGCTAATGTTACTCACAATTTCTAGGACTGATAACCATTATCGAACCGAGCAGCCTATTAAATAAATAAATGTAGACAGCTATTAATCAGTCAGATTTATCTGCCTGAATTAGAATTTTCATAAATTTATATTTCATTTATTTTTACGGGAACCCGCAGCGGCCACATAGGATTCAGTGTTGTACGAAGATTGTGTATAATATAGTATAATAAGTATAGTGCAGCGTAGTGTAGTGTGTAGTATAGTTTAGTATAGTTGTAGTATAGTAAGTATTGTATAGTTTAGTATTGTATTGTAACGTGGCATCTTGGCTCCGGTTTGAAGACTATGCAAAATATGCAAAGTCCGGCGCCGGCCGACAGCCAATTCATCACATCCTTTGACAAAGTTTATCAGAACTGAGCTTGATGCTATAAAACACTCCTCAGCATGGAGGGTCGTCTACTTTGTACAAATACCGATGCTCGAGCAATCTAGCATCTATAGTTTAATATTGAAGGCGTTCATGTTCGAGGCCTCGTGCGACTTCAACACTGAGTCTGTTTCACATGTCGGAGGCATCAAACGAGAAGAAATATCATATACTGGTCTCAGATACATGTAACCGAGAACTTAGTAATTGCAGTATGATATATAAGTGGGGAATTAGGCTTAAACACTTGAATTGGCGACATTTTGGTTCAGATTAGTTGCTACTCAAGCGGCAGCCATTTAGTTATCATGCGTATCTTGGGTCGATTTGTGACTTACAGTTGTTGAAACCATCCCATACTTAAATAGATGACTGCGAACTACAGACTTTGGAATTAGATTACACGATATCGAAATAGATGAATATGCACCGCAGACTTTGAAATAAATTTATACCATACAGGAATCAATGAATGTGCTTCGTAGGCCTTGGAATAAAATCGTACCATACAAAAATCAACGACTATGCTCCGCAGACTTTGGAATAAGAACATTTACAACGGAATAAAGGATATGAGCACCGCTGTCAGCGGTATAAAGTTAGCGAACATCCACACAGACTTCGTCGACGAAGTACAACGCGGGACAACATCCAGTTGTACGTTACGCTTTTCTTTGATGAGAGTTTGCAATGAGATAGCGTCATGATTCACACTGCATTTTGGTACAAATGAACCACTCTTCAATCCCAACACGAATTTGGATTCCGCGTCGCCGCCTTATTTTTGCGGCACGGTTTGAATCTGAATTCGATTAATATCCTACAATTAGAATCATGGGCTTTGAAATCGAAAAAATTATTGTTTTATATCTTAAAATTGGTAGTTACGCTGTACATTTCTGAAAATTTCAATTATCACAATTAAGTTGCGCATGAAGCTTAACAACAATTTTGCCAAGTTTCTATGGGTATCTAACGTAAATGGGATTCTCTCATCATGCCCACATTCTAAGGAGAAAACTAATAGCTTATGAATTGCCTACTATTGACATATTCTTCGACCAGTTGCCATTCCATTTGTTTGAATGGAGGTAGAAATTTCTTCATTATCCTGGGATGAGGCGAAGTTTGCATCCCACGATGTCAATTATTTCACATGTTTAACTTGTCGTTTGATTGCAAATTAATATCATTAATGGCTGAATACTTAACCCATTAGCACCCATGATCCCCAATTGGGGATCGATTGTCTTGTCATCATACGAAAAAAAAACGTTATTATTTTATCTGTTCATAGAAGTATCATCCCAATTAATTAGTGACAATAACACGTTCGTCAACCAATTAGTCGTCATTGATTTCGATATTACATCTTGATGTGATGGAACACAAAACAGTATATAGAAAATGCGACACCGCGGCTCACGATATCAGCTGCGTCTTCACTTGAACGAGAAACGAGCTTCATTGTCAATAAGAATGTGATTTTGCTCAGTAAGTGTTCAATTTATTTAAATATGCATTCAATATATATCCCAGGTGGGTTATACACAAGTTCTCCTTCATAAGGAAAAAGTCAGAAAACGACAACGAGCGTTCAGCATAAACATATTTACAGATAAATTATCGTTTTTCCTTTACTAATCAACGGGTTTATCGGATTTGGAAGCAGCATCCGATAAGCCAGATGTTGTTGCTTATTGATGCTGGAATAAATAACGAATAGGTAGCGTTCACACATTAAGTATTCAGCCATTAATGATATTATTTGCAATCAAACGACAAGCTAAACATGTGAAATAATTAACATCAATGGATGTAAACTTCATTATATCCCGGAAGAATATTGAAGTGATTTCTACCTCCATTCAAACAAATTAAATGGTAACTCGTCGAAGATTATTTCAATGGTAGGCAATGCATAAGCTACTTGTTTGAGCCTTGAAATGTGGGCATGATGAGGGAATCCCATTTACGTTAGACACCCATAAAAAATTGGCGAAATTGTAGTAAGCTTCATGCGCAACTTAATTGTGATAATTGAAATTTTCACAAATATAAAGCGTAACTACCAATTTTACAATGTAAAACACTAAATTTTTCGATTTTAAAGACCTTGATTCAAATTGTAGGGTTTTTATCTAATACTGAGTCAAACAATGCCGCAAAAATAAGGCGGCGACGCGGAATCCAAAATTTCGTTGGGATTGAAGAGTGGTTTATTTGTACTTTTGCACTTTTTAACTGAATAAACAAAGCTGCGTCTTCACTTGAACGAGAAACGAGCTTCATTGTCAACAAGAATATGATTTTGCTCAGTAAGTGTTCAATTTATTTAAATATGCATTCAATATACAGTATATCCCAAGTGGATTATACACAAGTTCTCCTTCATAATGAAAAAGTCAGAAAACGACAACGAGCGTTCAGCATAAACATATTTACAGAAAAATTATCGTTCTTCCTTTACTAATCAACGGGTTTAGCGGATTTGAAAGCTGCATCCGATAAGCCAGATGTTGCTTATTGATGCTGGAATACATATCGAACAAGGAACGTTCACATTAAGTATTCAGACATTAATGATATTAATTTGCAATCAAACGAGAGGTTAAACATATGTAATAATTTAGATCACTGGATGTAAACTTCATTACATCTAGGAAGAATATCGGAGTGATTTCTACCTCCATGCAAACAAATGAAATGGTAACTCGTCGAAGATTATTTCAATGGTAGGCAATGCATAAGCTTTTATTTTGATCCTTAGAATGTGGGCATGATGAGGGAATCCCATTTACGTTAGATACCCATAAAAAATTGGCAAAATCGTAGTAAGCTTCATGCGCAACTTAATTGAGATAATTGAAATTTTCAGAAATGTACAGCGTAACTACCAATTTTAAGATGTAAAACACTAAACTTTTCTATTTTAATGACCTTGATTCTAATTGTATGGTTTTTATCTTATACTGAGTCAAACAATGCCGCAAAAATAAGGCGGCGACGCGGAATCCAAAATCGTTATGGGATTGAAGAGTGATTCATTTGTAGCATAAATGCACTGTGAATCATGACGCTATCTCCTTGCAAACTCTCATCAAAGAAAAGCGTAAGATAAAACTGGAAGTTGTCCCGCGTTTTACTTCGGCGACGAAGTCTGTGTGGATGTTCGCGAACTTAATTCGGCTGACAGCGGTGCTCATAT